CAATGCAGACGATGATAGATACTCATATTGACTTCATAGATGGAAGTACGACATCAGTGCAGACCACGACTATAGATACTCATATTGACCTCACATAGATGGGAGTACAACATCAGTGCAGACCATGACTATAGATACTCGCATTGTCCCATATATGAAAGTACGACTAAGATACTCATATTATTAACTACATTTGGAAAGAGTCATGTGATTAATATTAATTATTACAAAGTCTAGAGAGGAAGGGAGAAGGTCTTAGAATCAACTATGGGATCACTCGATCAGTCGTATGCACTCATTCCGTCATTCGCAGCAAAAGTTGATTGCAAACAAAATTTAGGTACCGTATATATATTCATTGATACTTTATATTTGTTGTATATGTGTATATTTACCAAAAATTTTCATGCCCACAAAGTTGAGCCACATGCTAATTCAAATACTTTTTCATGAGGTTGTCTGCTTTTACAGAATGATAGAAACACTGCCTACCCGTTATATCTATAGATGAAAGTTTCAAAGGAACCCGGACCCTTTTACACTTTGGATAGAAATTCCCAAATCACAAGGTCTGTTTTTATTTGATTTCATAGGGTTAGAGACTCATTAAACATATTTACCCCTCCACCTARAAAATTTAAATTTTCAATTTTAGATTTTAACGTTAGAAAAGCTATTAAATTTCAAAATCTACATGACGACAATTTAAATTTTTTTTTGTTTATGTACTTGTTTTCAAAATATAGTGCATCAGTTTTTAAATTAGATTCTTAGTTGCTTAAATTAGGTTCATCGATTATTTACCATTGATTCCCTAGACTTGTTGTTTTTGCTAATCGTTCTACAAAATAAATCTCTAAAATTAAGCACATACTTAATTTGTTGGAGGGTATATTTATTTAAAATATTATTTATAATTCTAAAAATAATTTCATCTAGTCATTGGTACAATATCTAATATTTTTGGTCATTTCTTAAAACCGTTATTTTATTTATTTATTATTATTATTTTTTTTTTTTTGTCGTTTCTGCGGCCGCCCTGTAATGGCCGTTGACCAAGAAATGAGAAAATTTGGACCAACAACTAAGCCCAATGAGGCCATGGAAAATAAAAGGCTTAAAAGCCCGACACACATGGCGCATGGCCCAATTCCGATCATTCTTTTTAAAATTTATTAATCTCTTTTTTTCCCCTAATAATTAAAACCAAATAGAACAATAGTCAGAAAGGATTACTTTTTAATAACTTTATATATCTACGTTAAAATTTATCAATATTTAATTAAAATCTAGCAATCTATTACTTTATTTTAGAAAATTTTATACTAGCAGTATACGAGTGATATATTTTCATCAATTTGAGATTTTACTGACATGTTATCGATGTTTATCGAAACCGACACCGAAATCGACAATTTTTTCTTCATTTTCGCCGACTAGCTGAAATGTCGGTCGGTTTCAGTTTAAACCTGATTGTTTTCTTCTTTTTTTTATCCTTTTACCTTTTATGAAATACAAAGATAGCAAGACTAAAAAAAGAAAATTTCTAACCGACAAAGAAAGCATGAAACCAAAAATAAGAAGAAAGGTTACAGAGAGACAGACCAAGAAGATAAAACGTATCTAAGGTGGTGTGGAAAAAAATGTACCTCAAGCGAGAGATCTGAAATGTAAGAGAGAGAAGGTCATGCATGAAGATGAATGAGAGAGAGAGAGGTTTTGTACAAGTCCAAACAGATCAATTCACGATTTTTTATCTGCAACATCAATCGACCAGCTTCAATTAGGTCGAAGTTCAAAGTTATTCTCTCTGCGATGTCGTTTTTAGTTCAGGCAGTTTCAGCTTCTTCAGCATACAATATCGTGTAAAGTTCAAAGTCGATGAGTGAGGTCGGTTTTTGGACTACATAGATAGAAAGTGGAACAACCCATGCTAAAACGAGCTCATTTGAAATCATGCATTTAAAACACAGCTTTAAAGGCGTGTTTGGTAGTGGTTGGAGAGCAGGCAAGGTTTTGGGAAATTGTAGATCTTGCATTGTACTTGTTTCAAGGAAAGTGAAGACCAAGTCATGTGATATAGTGGGTCCCGCAGGGACACTTTTTACCCACTTGTGGTCTGCAAACCCCTCAATTGTGGGCCACCTCTTCCCACCAATCACTTCACTCCATTGCATTCTAATCTGTTAAATGTTAGTGTCCATGAAAATACTCCTATCTTAATTTTATGAAAAATAATAATAAAATGTTGATTTACAATAGGTATTCCTAAAATATTATAAAAATAAAAAATTTATAACAAATAAACATTTCAGTCGTATTAGTGATATTTTGTTGATGTATTTTTATATATTTTATCAATTTTTTTGTCATGCTATAAAATTGTCGATTTACCTCTTACATGTATGTTGAACCTATGAATATATGAAATTGTAGATGAAATATTTGAGAGGATGATGGGACTTCAATACTTTGATTATAAGAGTATTAAATTAGCACTCTTTCACAAAGCCATTCTATTATTTTCAAAAAAGTTTTAAGTTAGGCCCTAAATTTTTTAAAGAATAAATATTTTGATACTTTACTATGTTATTTTGATTTTAACAAAGGGATAACGTGGCTTCGAATAGATGTATTTATAAACCGTTGACATCAACATATATTTGAGCTACATAAGTTGGTTGATAAGGTTGGGTTGATATTGACTATCGACACTAACCTCAATCGTCATTGGAATAGAACTCAAAAAAACACATCTCATTTACCAAGATGTCCCAAATCTCTCCTTTGTAAGTCATGGCGGCCACTCAATTTTAGATCGGCGTTGGTTAAACAGGGACTAAACTGTCTTATCTGTCTGATTGAAGATCATTCTTTATTAAAAATGCAAACATTGTTCCAGATCGACTAAAGGATAAGGAAGCATTATCTATAGCATATTAGTGAAAAGGGACACCATTTTCATCCATATGAAAAACCTTATGAGTGAAATTGAAAAGCAAATCTAAGTAGAGTTAGCACAAAGTAGATAATACTATATAACCATAGTATAGTATATGGGAGGTATCAAAATCCATGCTGTATAATTTGACCGTCCATGAAATCCTCAAATGTCGAACAAAAACGATAAAGCTTCAGAAACATAGTTGGAAATCCAAACAATGTCCAACATTAATCGGAAGAGAGAAAGATCGACATTGCATAGAGAAAGAACATCTCCGTTGATATGAAGTTGTTATATGAGTGAAATAATAAAAGCAAAAGTGATATGGACTTAAGCCTAAGAAAGTAGGTGACAGTTGGGCATGGTTATATGAGTGGCCGTTAAAGCAGTTTTCAGTTGTGAACCCCACCATCACCAAACCAAACCCACTTGCAAAATAGTACAATTCCTTGGCTGGCAACTGCAGCCTTCTCAGTCCCCACTTGCTATTACTTCTATTTAGTCCCTCCATTATTTTTTTGTTTCAATTGCGTCCCTCTTCTCGTAAATTTTCACGTTTAACTTCTGTTGCTTGGTAATATTAATGATTTGATTAAGGAGTGATGATTTGACATGATGTGAGACGAGAAAATTGGTAAAACTAAATAAATCAACGGGAGAAGACCAACAAAGTTTAATAGATAGGTAGTTTGAGAAAAGACATTTTAATGGATAGGTCGTTATCTTATTAGTTTAGAAACTAGTATTGAACATTTACAATTTTAAAAATCTAAATTTGTTTGGTGAAGTTTGTTGTTCTTTTTTTTAGTGGATTTAATAATTGTGAGGGTGAGGGATGAAACTTTACCTTTGAAACGATAATATGTATCTTATCCACTAAATTATGTTAAGGATCATATCATCGATATTTGAGATGATAATAGATATTTATCCACAAAGTTATGTTCAGATTGGTTGGAGACAAAGATTTTTTTAGTATAACAAATTGAGCGTACGAGGGTTTAAACTACAACCTTAATGAAAGAAATAAAAGTCATCTACTGCTATACGAGGGTTTAAACTACAACCTTAATGAAAGAAATAAAAGTCATCTACTGCTTGACTAAGATCACGTTGGCAACAAAGATTTCATTCTTCAACTTCTAAGGAATATGCTAATGCTTTAACTATTTAGCAATGCTAAGTATAGGAATGACCAAAATTTAGACCTTAATTTACCAATTTTTTTCTTCTTTTTAGTAGATATCTTTACCGTTTGAGCTAATTGCTTATGTTGGTATTCATTTTTCTCAATAATTTGAATTTAGATCTTTGGGATTGAATTTATCGTTCAATTGGATTTCATAAAGTAGTTTCATTTTTTTTTATACAACATGTGGGGATGGGGATCAAACTCGCAACTAAACTATGCTCGCTTTGACAAGTAGTTTCATTTTTTATGCTATTTTACAAATATGTTTCATTTATAAAAACAATTCCAAGTGTATAAACCCTTAAGAGTAATTACAAAGGTTTTTTCAGTAGAACAAACTACCAAGTTTTTAAATCAATTAAACTTATTAATAATCCCCATTAGTATCTAATTAGTCTTTAATTTTTATAGAAATGTAAATATTTTTTTAAAAAATCATAATAATAAAAATTTCATAAAAATTACTTTATTTCTTTTTTATTGAGTAAAAATTACTTTAATTAATGAATACACATTTCTTACTTTTAATATTTCATCCATAATTTTAGAATATAATGAAAATATCGACTTTCTTTTTCAAATATCTATGAGCGGACCAACTTACGCGAATCTCGACTGACCCTACAACATTTGGTCAATAATAAAAAGTCATAACAAAACCCGTAACACAAACATTAATGACAATTCAATGTTATCTAAGGATTCCTCCATAAAATTCGTCCACGGTGATAGTATGATGGCAATTTGAGCACTCGTCCATCGATGTCGATGAATTTTTTAAATTGTGTCTGTTAGTTTTTAAGTTCGAATCTTCCTAAAGCAGATCTATCCATCTTTCAAATCATCAGATCAGCAATTCACGGATTGTTGTCAAAGATTCTCTTTTTTTTTCCTTCTATTCAAAGTCCTCATCAGAATTATTACAAAATGGGGTCAGTGCCCATTTTAATTAATGCTTTGAAAATCATCATTCTTAAAAAGGCAATTCCACAATGGCAATCCCTTCCTTTTCTTTCTCTCTCTAAAATTTCATCTCAACAATCAAGAGCAAAATCCCAGAAAACCCATTACAAAAACACAATGAAATCTGGAAAATGGACTTCCAATTTCTAATCAGAAAGCAAGAAAAATTAGTGTTTTGGATAAATGATGATGAGGCAATCTCACAGCCTATGTCAGAAAAATAATAATAATAATCATCGTTTCGCTTTCAGACACTGCTTCGACCTCGAGTCATTTCTCTTCTAAACTTAAAAGAACGCGGAAGAGAAAAAAGTGGGAGGGAAAAAAAAATCAAACTCGTTATGTGATCTCGAAATAAATGTATTCAATCTAGAATGCACGTCGTCTCTTCATCGTCTGTAAATCGTGACAAGTTAGCGTTGTAAAGCATGTGTGGAGAAGTTTTACTGTTAGCTTGGCTGATTGATCATATTCGAGCCATTTGAAACCGAGTCAATTGCATATGCATCCAGCCCTCTTGTCCGACCAGGCGCTCCGCCTTTCTGTGAGGATAAATCCAACACAATCCTGCTTCTCAAAGATTAAATGTAAGACACATTGAAAGCCATGACTTTGGAATCGTATTATCTATATAAATCGTGATTCCAGTACTTACATCTTTCGGGACTCGTTCTCGGGGTCTGAAGCTCGGTAGGTTATTATTATTTTGTTATCTATCCTTGATACTGAATGGACAATTGGAGGAAGGTCCAAATCTTCTGGAACTGAAGAAAGTTATAAATATATAATTAAAAAAGCACCTTATGAAGTATTCATACGTTAGAACTTTCAGTGAATAAGTTTCTTACTTGATTTAGTGCAAGAATTGACACTCCCATCAAGCCCCAAGAGTTTCTGAAATAATTAGAATTATAAAAGGTTGAGATGTCGGCTAGAAAAATGTTTAAATTAAACACATAGTTCCATTACAAAGCAAAGGAAATTACCTTGAGATTCTCATAGCATTTTTCAAGGTTATCATTGAACAAGATGTGATCGAATATACCCGATGATTCTCCTTGCTTGATCTCCGCCTCCGCATTTCGCAGTCGTTTGAGGATTTGTTCTTCGGTTTCAGTCCCCCTAAGGGTGTATAATTTGATGCATATTCAGACTGGTAACATGAATGAAAAAGGTTTTGAAAGAGGAAACTTGATGGCATCTCTAACTCACCTAGCACGAAGGCGCTTCTCGAGTTCGGCCATTGAGGGTGGACTGATGAAGATGAATATAGCGTCCAGGGAACTAGCCCTCACGGACCTCGCACCTTGAACGTCAATGTCGAGAATGCATCTCTTCAGGGAAAATAACAAGCATTTCAGATTTGCAGACACAAAAGTCAGTTTCAACTTCGAATAGGATAACTATCATACAACTTAGATAAAAATCGACAAAATCCTCAAACCGAAGCAGGTCTTCTCCTTCAAAATCATTCTAAAGAGAACCAATTGACCTCCCATGCTTACTATTATGTTAAACTATCAATTTCAATTTCAAAGGAAAGTCCATCTTAAGCAAGAGCAAGAAGTGTATATGATTATTCAAAAGACGGATTGAATACGTACTTTTCCTGCATCTGCTACCACTTCGACTGCTTCAACGCTAGTTCCATAGAGATTTCCATGAACTGAAGCAAATTCAAGAAATTTCCCCTCTTTTATGTCCTTCTCCATAACACTTCGCTCTGTAAAATGGTAATGGAGCCCATCTTTCTCCATTTTCCTTGGAGCACGAGTCGTGTGGCTGACAGAGAATCCAAACAAGGATGGAAATTCTTTCATGAGCATGGATATAAGAGTACCCTTGCCCACTCCAGAGGGACCGCTAACAACGATCGGCTTCTCAACCATTCCCCTCACACCTTTACTCCAAGCAACAACTTCAGAACCTAAAGTTTTTCTTTGTTCTTGAACATATGGGGTGTCCACCTACTCACATTCAAATACATGATGTATCATAAGAATACGAAAATAAAACCCGATAAATATGTAAATTTCAACTTCTTTTAAGCATGTACCTAGATATCATCACCTTCAGCTTTATCCATAGAGTGGTATTGTGATGTTAAACTCTCACAAACATGTACGTCAAATCAAATTTCACCCTATAAAACTTGAAGTGCTACGTATGACTAACCTCAAGAATCCAAATCGAGTCATCTAAGGTGGACCCGCCATTAATAAACAATATGCGATCTTCGTTTAATGCTATTGCCGAATGCCCTTTACAAGGCTTTGGTATTGTTCCCAGAACAATCGGATCGATCCTGCAAATTCCCACCATAACTAAGAGAGCTAGAAATGGACTCAATTGCATAACCAAGGGAGAAACTTACCGAGTTCCTTTCGAATGATCAAATACTTGAACTCGAAAGAACAACAGCGATTCGTCACAGCCTCCATCAACCAAATACTGCCAAAGTATTACCAAAAACAAATTAAGAATCGCAGAGGTGACTCCTCGGCGCATCACAAGTCACTATAGAACAAATTAATACATACTCTGACAAATCAAAAGCAATACAGCAAAATAAGCATACTGTTTTATTGCCGATGACAGTGGCGGTTTCACAACCTTTCGATTTTAAACCGAACCCATTCGGAAATCCCTCCTTCAAATCATGAACCAGGAAAGCTGGGGCTTCTCCCTAATGACCGTACAAAGCCAACACACAATTGTATCACAATAAAGAAACCATACGATCCCTTAACATAAATCCACATAATTAACAAAATCTTAAGCCTGATTTTTCCTCTAAGAAACGAAAATCTCTCATAGAACAACAAGAAAAGTTAAAAACTATTAAAAGGCTCACCATGGAGAAATTTAATCCTCCAAGTTCTAGGTTACCCTGATCAAGACAGATGGAATGAGATGAGATTCATCAAACCATATTATATTTCAGGATTCAAGCATAAACAACCAAAGGAAAAAGAAGGGCAAGAAATTTGGACATAATAATGAAAATACAAGACAAAAAACCGACAAGAAACAACATGGGTTCACAACTCGAACCCTCCAAAACCAGAATAAACTCCAAAAAACCCAAATGCGTAGAAGATGCACTATATCAATGCTGTCAATGGAAAGTGCAAACAAAAAAAGATAAGCAATACAAAAAAAGCAGACAAAAGGAAAAGGGGACAAACAAAGAAAAAGGGGAGGGCAAACAAAGAGAAAATAAGGAAAACAAACACAAATCCATAGATACGATCTCCAGAAATCCACACCCCACATTCAGAAACTCAAAAACAAATGCGAGAAAGAGGCAAAAAACAGAGCCCCAACCAGCTAAATCAAAGCTAAAACAAAACAGAACAGATCAAACAATGGGTCGAATTCACAAAAACCGACTACGAAATTACGAATCAAGAAAGGAAAGAAAAAGGGGGGGAGGGGACATTAAACTCCGCTACCTTGAGCGAATTCTGAGCAGAGGGTACCAAGGCTGGGGAAATCGATGAATGTTTTGTGAAACGAAACACGAAAACGGCGACGACCCAGAATCTGGTTTGTTGTTTTGTTTGAGAAACCTGAAGAAAAATTTCCTCCGGAGTTGCTTTTGAATTTGATTTCACCAAATCGGAGGAAACCCAGAATGTAAGAAATGAGAAGGGCGACGGAAGAGAGAGGCGCAGGAAAGTTTGAGAAGCATTCTGGTATTTGTAGGCAGAGAGGGACTCAGAAATTTAGAGAGAGAGAGAGAGAGAGGGTGGGGTTTTGGTCGCATTCAATTCACGGAACAAGAAGACCGGCTCTCGTTTTCTCGCGGGATGGTTACGGTGCCATTTTTTTCTTTTCTTTTTTCTCTTTTAGCTAACCAATTTAATTAATTTAATCTATCCCATTTAATTTCAATACGTTAGATTTCTATAACAATAGACTTCTTCTTAACGTTTGGGTTAGAAGCATGCTTCTGGATCTATTATTTTAACATATGTATATTTTCATGGATTCAACGTGGACATAAGAGGTGAATCGACATTTCCATCTTAACAATTAACAAGATATGTAAAATATCAACAAAATGTCACTAATATATATATATATATATATATATATAATATTAATATTAATTATTTTTAAGTAATTTAAACATGGAAAAATGTTTATTTGTTAATTTAAATATTTTTACGATTTTTAAATTTTTCTAATTTTTACAAACAAATATCAATTGACATCAACATTTTTATCGATATTTCCATGAAATTGAGACATCAATATTTCCATGAAATTGAGACATCAATATTTTCATTGACATCGACATTTAAAACCTTGGTTAGGAGAGTGTTAAGTCCAAAGTTTTAAATATCAGAGGGAAATGTTAAGGTCGATGAATATTTATGTAAAAATTAGAAAATTTCAAAAAATCATAAATAAATATTTAAATTAACATTTTTTTTCTATTTATAAATAATTAAAAATGACTAATATTAATATTATGTAGATATATTTTTTATTTAAATATAACATTTAGAGGTGGAGATGGAACTCACAACCTCATGTTTAGAGATATATGTCAATTACTACTGAGTTATGCTTGTTTTGGCTAATATTATGTAAATATTAGTGATATTTTGTTGATATTTTTAATATTTTGTTAATTTTTTGTAATATAATGGTGAAACGTTAATTTATCCTCATATCGATGTTAAACCCATAATACATAGAAATATGGATGAAAATGTCACCAACGGATATTTAATACTATAATTAAGTCCAATACATTAGATGTTTAAATTAGCAAAGGGTTTCGTTAAAAAAAAAAAAGTAAATAGTTGGATTTTTATAACATATGGTGCTCCATGTCTCTCGTGTTATTTGTATATGGATGAAGTCTTCTTGAATTGGTTCGAAAGAATCGACTGGACTAGATTCGATCTACTTGAGTATGATTTAGTTGGATGATCCAACCCGAACTTTATTTGATTTGGGTGACTCAATCCATATTGTTTCGATCGGTTGGAACCAACCTAATTGAGTTGGGTTAAACTATATTTTCTGGTAGCCTTGATTTTATAAGGTGTAAATTGAAAAATGGTCGGTCCAATTCTGTTTGTTGAGTCGATTTTGTAAAAGAAAGGTTTCGATATTAGTTTTTTGTTTTTCTTGAAGTTGTAAATTTTGGGAAGGAAAACAAACACCTCTAATTTGTTATTTTTTTTTCAGAAAAAACAATTAATTTCATCTTTATTGTCATTGTCACGTATAATATGGGATTTTTTTTAATGATTTTAAATTATAGTAGATTTGAAAGAGATTCTTTTATTTGTTATCTTTTATAATAAATTATTTGTTTTTTTAGAGGTATAATAAATTATTTGTAATTATGTGAGTAAATGTTTTTTTTTCTAGAATATAACATTTTAAATGTATAGGTAAAGATTTGAAACTTCAACTTGATAGTGCAATTTGACTGTCTATACAAACGAGAGAGTTGGATTCAACAAGTACATATAAGATCGGTATAAAGAAAGAAAAGAGCTCTAACTCTCAAGTCAATAAAATTTGAAGTATGTTTTCAAGATGAGCAATCAAATTTGTTGCGTGCCTACGTACCAAGTCTATTTTATTGAAATAGCCTGATCATGAGAATATAGGCACGAGGTCTATGGTTGAGATAAGTTTTCTTTATTGTCACTTCAACATGGTCTTGGTTAATGCCGAGATGTGAGTGAAGTTCTTAAGTATGATTCATCGAACCTAAGGTATGAGGTGTTATTTCTCGAACCTTCAACAACCTCTCTCTTCCCTGCCCTGCTTTACATGTCTCATTTTTTTTTAAGTACAACATTGTGGGGATGAGGGTTCGAATTCATAACCTTCTAATCAGAGATAAATGCCTTAACCATTTAAGCTATGTTTGGTTTGGCTTTTACATGGTTCATTGATATAAGAAAAGTTACCGATATTTATAAAGTTGTAATTGATTAGTATTAACATTTTTAATACTTTTAAGTTTATTTAATTTTTAGCTTTGGTTAAAAGTCATTTATTGGTTGTGTACTAAGTGATTATAGATCCCCATGAAAATAATAAATTTTTTATTTAATTGATATGTCTATTTCATTAAATTAAAATATAAACTATTTCCGGTCCAACTAACAAAATGTACTATGAGCTCATATCATCATTTTTAACAAAATTAAAAAATGATACAAGCATTAGTGACTAAATTATTAAAACAATTTTAGAAATTCTTTATTTTTTTTAAAAATTTATCATTGATTCTGTATTTAATTACTTTATTTTTATTTAAATAAATTTCTTAAGTTTACCATTTTTTAAAAGGACCATTGGATCTATAAAAGGACTGGATTATATATTTATCCGAATTTTAGTTGTGATTTAAATATTTTTTCTATAACAAGTTTAGAAATGATTTATTTTTATGTTTATTTTTATTTACTTTGTTTTTATTTAAATAAATTTTGTAAAGTTACCATTTTTTAAAAGACCATTTTTGGATCTTCCATATATAATAAATATAACAGATAGATTTTCATTCTAATAAAGAATGTTACCTTAAAAGGGATTTTAAATTGCATGGAAATATTTATTTAAAACTTTTTATGGTTAAAATCATAAAGTGCAATTAAATTTTAAACATCTTTAAAAAAAACAAATAAATAAACAATTCTTCAATGACAACAAGTAATTTTATACATAAAATTATTCAAATATATAACCAATTTATTTTCCATGTAAAATAAAAAATATAAATAATTCAAAGAAATTTAGAACAATCAATCTATAAATTAATTTAATCTCACTTCTTTTGTACAAATCCAACTGGATAGAATCTTTTACTTGTCTTGTGTGAAAAGGGAAATATATCAGGATTCTACTTTAATTTATCATATTTAGTCTTTCTTCCTTTTTTTTTTCCTCAGAAAAGAAATTATATATTTTATTTAGATTAAAGTATAGTCTTGGTCCCTAAAACTTTAATAATTTCAGGTTCAGTCATAATCATTAAAATTTGAATTACGAATAAAGGAAAAATGACTTGATTTGTTTGATCTGAGAGAAAGTATACTCAATTTTTAATTTTTTTTTTTACTGAAAGTATACTCAGTTATGAGAAAATAAGGAAAGGTAAACCCTAAACCCTAGAAATTTAAATTTTAAAAGTGTCGCAACAATTATTAGTCTTAATTTTGACTTATTCAACCTGTCCATGATCTCTAAATATTGGAAGTTTAAAATAATGTATATTAAATTAAATATTTTAGTAAGACATTACTTACTTTCTTAAAATGGGGAGGTTTGAAGATGACTCAAAAACTAAGCTCAAAATAATTATACTAAGTACAAAATAGAAACCAACTACACATGGTATGGATAATTTATATTAATTATTTAATTTAGTCAAAATGATATGCATTGGGAGTTTGAAAATGATGAGTTAAATTTAGGACAATATTCCCCTGCACTCTAGCCTGTATTTTTATTGCTTTATTTATAATATATTTAGTAGATAAATGGATCATTAAAATTTTTCGACTAATAAAAATACATCGCATTAAAAAGATTTTATTGGGCCGTGTGTAGGTGAGTATTTTCTAAAATTTTAGTTTAAATACTATTTTGATTCATGTACTCTCAAAAAATTCGAGTTGGTTCCCTAGTTTAAATTTTTATTCATTTTATTCCTTAAACATTGAAAGTATCTGTTTTTGATCCCTATACTTTTTAAAAGTGACTAATTTAGTCCATATTTGCAAAATTTTAACATAAACGAAAATTCCTGAATACAAATTTATAACTACATTTCAAGAAATTTAGTCAGCGAAGTGTCATGTTAAAATTATAATTGAAAAAAATGAGATGGAGATGTAAATGAATGTACCAAATATAATCATTTTTTTAAAAGTAGAGGAACGAAAATAAACGTTTAAAAGTATCGGTAGTATGAATTAAAGTTGAAAGTATATAAACTAAAATAAACATTATGAAAGTAAAATAACTAAAATTGACGTTTTAAAAATACCGAAACTAAAATGAATTAAAGTTCAAAGTAGATAGATTAAAATAGACGTTTTGAAAGTACAATAAATAAAACAGACGTTTCAAAAGTATCGGAACTAAAATGAATTATGGTTCGAAGTATATAAATCAAAATAGACATTTTGAGAGTACGCTAACTAAAAAAATTAAAATTAAAATAGTCTAAAGTTGAAAATAGGATAACTAAAATAAATGGAAACAAAAAATTTAATATTAAATTTGCCCCGCCGGTAGGGTTTGGAAAATTGATAGAAAGTGGGTTTTAAAATGTTTGATAAAAGAAAAAGGTTTTAATTGTTTGACAGCCAAGCCACAGCCATAGCCAAGCGCGTGAGATTTGAGGACTCTATGGCGCGTGAGATTAGGCAAATGTGAAATATAAAATTAAAAGAAAATTAAAAGGAGTTTTTTTTTTTTTTTTCCCTTTTCTTTTTGATTTGATTTGGAATTTTAAATTTTTCACTGTTTAAAGAGTTTACGTTTCAACCCATAAACCCATTCATCCATCGCTGTCATCACCATCTCCCCTTTTATTTCAGTCGGCAACACGGTTTCTTTTAATTTCTCAAAATAATAATAATAATAATAAAGTCCCATAATAATTGCCCCCAAAAAAAAAGAAAAAAATTGTGTGGGCTATTTGGGTATTAATAAAGTCTTTTCTTTTAGGTTAAA